TACTTGAAAACATTTTTAATACTATTTAGCAAGAAATTAAAATTGCTTCTGTGTTCATTTAAATATCTGATTAGTTCATTCTGCTCATCCCTTATATTGTACTCTCCAAAATGCATTGGGCTTACAAATAAATCTTTTGACATCGAGGGTTTGTTCCCTCCCTCCCTTTTTTGGCAATGCCATTCTGTTTTTGTTGAGGTTGTTGAAGTTGTTGAAATGAGTGCTGCCTACTGCCAGCCTTCCACTCAGACCAAATGTGTCACTAAATGGAATTTACTTTAGGCCTTTCTTGCGCCTATGGAAAAGAATCTGGAATCCTAGTATTCTCATCTATTGAAGTTTATTTAGCAGAACTGTTAGTTAATCATAACAAGATAGAAAGCTAATCACTGTATTCATATCCTGATGTTAAATTGTGCTTGAGGGTCTCTCCAGCCTTTATCCAGCATTGTTCCTGTCTGTTGGTAGTGCTAGTGCAGCTTAAACCAACACAGTTAATGGCTGGCCTACACCTCCCTATGATGAAGATGACCTTTCTAGTTGCCATTACTTGAGCACAAGCTGTGGTTTAATTCTGTGCTCCTCAGCATGATCAACCATTCCTGGTATTCTACAAAGGTAAGGTCATCTTTTCCCGAGACTGTTCTTTTCCCCCCAAAGTAGTTTCATAGTACCATTTCATTCAGGACCTCCTGTTAGCTTCTTTCTTACCTCCCAGTTGGGTGGTCAGGCAACATTCCTTAAATACTATTTTATTTAAACAGAACATCTTTCTTCAGAATATCTTCTGGCCTGTCTTTGCAGCATTTTCAAAAGTCAGCGACAGACTCACCACTTCTGGAAGTACATTGAGCCATAGCACGCTCTGTTGCCTTCCTCAGCAGCATTCTACTTCAGTGGCTGTGCAATGCTGCAGTTTAGGCTCAACCAATGAGCTCCGTTGGGCCTAACTGCCAGGGTAGCACAGCTTGTGCAGATGTAGCCTTTGCTGGAGCAGTCCTTTCTATGTTTTGGTGGGGCGTTTTCCTCCTCTAGTAAGTCTCCTGCCTTTCAGTCACCCCTATATGTAGGTCACAGAGTCCATGAAGGAGGAGGACAGGTTGCCATACTGTAACTGCAGTTCTTTGAGTGATCATCTGTGAAGTCACACAACTCGTCCCCCTCCCTGCTTCAGTGTCACCTCTTTCGTTCCTCTGTTGCAACAAACTTGAAACTAAGAAGCAGAAGGGAGCCACACCTGATGAGTGCACAAATCTTACCTGTTCAACATTATAAGTTCCTTATTGTTCTGTTCAGGCTCCTAACTTGTGTGTGTTAAGTGTAGAGATGGCCTCTCAAAAACCCCACAGTTACAAGTAAGCTATTCTTTTTGTACAAACTTCCTATATTTCTTAGCCCCCCACCCCCACCCCACACACACACACACTTCTAGGATTACCAGAGAGAAACATATGCCAAAGAAGTAGAAGGAAAATTTATTTCACTCTTTCCCTTGGCAAGCCAGAACTTTAAGTCTGGCTCTTGACAGGAATTAAAGATTATTGAAGTTCTGATGTATTTCAATTAAGTAATTAGCAACTGTTACCTTCTAAACAGCAGAGGTATGTTTCACAATAAATGTAAACATGATCTGTTTTTGAGTCATATTAATTACAGTATATTAAGTATTCTCTTGAGCTGGGACATTAGCACTATAATCACAATACATTACCAGCGAGCTCATAAATATAAATATGTCTGTTGCCATTTTGTGAACCCCTGTCCTAGAAGTTAGAGAAGTCTGTATTGCTAATGTGAAGCTTAGAGGATTCCAGAACCCTCTGAATTCCAAAACTGAAAGTTTAAGTCCCCAGGAGAATACTGGGAGCCTAAACTAAACCGTTGAAGTTAGGTGACACATACAAACTTAGCAGCACTTAGAACACTTCGCACTCTCCATAGCTGCTAACCAACATCTGCTTTGTCTTTGTTTACTTGTTGCTCTTCATGGCCTCAGACAGAAACACAGAAACAGAGTGAGTCAGAAGGGGCCTCCAGGGCCATTTAGTCTGACCCCTGGTTCCAGCCAGATCCACTTACGACATGCCTATCATGTGCATGCCCAGCCTATCCTGGGCATGTTCCCTTTAACCCTTTTCCCCCCTTTCGTAATCCTCTTTAAAATATTTTTTGAAAAACCAACCTCTGTGAAATAAAATACAAACCTTTGTATAAACTTTGGTTAACTCGAATGCTTTTGTTGGGTTTTCTTGTTTAGGAATGTTATTTTTTTAAAGTGACTTTGTAAATGTGTATGTGCCTAGAGAATAGTAGGTAAACTGGGAGCCAACACTGCTGCATGTCAAGACCTGAATCATGCCACACCACCCTAGTTAGTTTATGCTGACGAATATTGTGACTGCAGTACTATTCCTAGGCCTGGCAGCCATGGTTGTTCTGGGTGGGCAGCTGGCCATCTTCCTTCTTGCCCGCATGGCTAGTTGCAGGGCCATGGCCCCACAGCATTCCCTCATCTTTATTTTAACTTTCATTAGGAGAGGCAGCAATCTGAACCTCCGTGCCTTTGGGGCTGGGGGAGTGACACAGCCAGTAGTGGCATACGCATGTGTTTGCACACCTTCTGCACCCTCATCAGCTAAGTCTCCCTCAAAGGCAGATTGGTTCAGATCGCTAACTACTTCTTCTCAGATTACTTGTGAGCTCCACATGGTGCCTCACCAAGTGGGTGAAGAGGAGGAAGAGGAGTCAGATGACTTGCCCACACCCAACCAGCCCCCACCCCCCCAAAAAAGGGGGGGGAAGGAGAACAAAGACAGGCTGCAAGTAGTTAGTGCTGGCGCCTGTGACTGGTAGGATAACTAGTTCAGTATAGGGATTAGACTGTTGAACTGAAGACGGGGAAGTTCTAGTTCTGACTTGGCCAGGAAGCTCATTGGGTGGCTTTGGACCGGTTACCTGCTCTCACCCTAACCTACCTCTCAGGGTTGTTACGAGGATAAAATGGAGTGGAGGAGCTTCACATGAGCTGCCTTTGGTTCCTTGTGAGATAGAAGTACAATGTAATAATATGGGTGCTTCGAGAAGCAACATGCTTGAGAACTCACTGGGCTATGGCTTCAGCCCTGGCTATACCTGCTTACCTAGGAGTAAGCCTTGTTCCATTCAGGGGCTGATTTTTGAGTGGGCATAGATAAGATTGAGTTGTAAGGCATTTGCCCCTATCTAGCATGGCATCTTCTTAAATAGGCATTGAGAAATACTGGCCAGAGAAAAGGCTGTTTATGGACATTTTAAAGCCACATTTATATGTGACATTATTAACCTTCAAAGCATGGTGTCCTTTCTCAGCAGTGTGCACCCATTATTCCAGTTTTCTTAGTGCTTATCCACTGGCAAAGATTAATTGAAAGATCTATGGAGAATAAGTAACTCCCTCCAAACTACTGCTCACTCTGTTATGGATGTGAATACTTAAAAACCTGGGATAAGTGGTGTGCAGAATTAAATATAATAGACATGTAACTTTTGTGTGCATTTGTGAGTATGCATTTAGAAAGGGATGTTTGGGTATGGCTTGAACTGATTTGAACAGAAATTGTTTGCATTCGTCACTTTCATGGGAGGAATAACCACTGTTCAAATTTATTATCACATGGAGAAGGAAAACTCTGTTATCCAACTATAAAGTGGTTGCAGATTTTGGGGGAATAGAATGTGGGAATAGAGAGGTGCACAGTGCTACAAAGTAAAATGTGACATTGGGTCAGGGAAGTCAAGGCTATATACAGTCAAATTCATCCTGATTAATCAGCCTTTATTAGTATATATTGCCCCCTTGTGTTCAACTTTCCTTCTGGACCATGAGCAGTATGTAGAAAAGTGTATGGAAGAGTTTCTCGATATTTTGAAAATGGTGCTGAATATGGCACTAAAAAGCAGCATTCAGGAACTAGTTGGCAGTGGGCTCATGAGCAATGACAGAATGTTTTCCTTTCCCATAGCTAACAATGTATGGATGGAGATGACTTGGTGTGTCTCATTTTATCTGCCATGCACGTTTTTAAAAATTAATTGATATATGGTACTCAATACCTAAGCACAACTTACATGTAAATGCTTTTTAATTGAATCCCTGTGGCTCGCTTTTTAGAGACAGCAGTCTGGAGGCGAGGGGTTCTTCTTTATCCCTACCTATTACCTCTCCACTCCAAACTTAGTGGTTGCTTTTCGTTGGAGGGTGGGGAAGATTATCATTTGGTTAAACTTACTTACATATAACATATACTCTTGCAACAGAAGGTAAATGAAATAGAAATGAAAGCTTCCATAGTAACGGCAGATCTGCCTGTCTTTAAAAATGGTTTGCTTAATATTTTGAATCTTAACAACTGGCTGAGTTCACACATTATGCTAAGCCTTGGTTTATGTTAAACTATGATTAGCTGCTTTAACCACAGAATCTTGCAGACAAGTAAATTAACTGATGTTGTCCCCCAAAACCCAATTTCTACTTTGATTCTCTCCCATTCATTTTACCAGTCCACAGAACAGTTTTGATTTTGGGCCGTTTGGGCGGTAGATCTGTTTCAGGTTGGACATGAGCGCAAACAATCCAGGAATAATACCTCATTGTGGATTCCGATGTTATAATAAGCCATGGTCCAAGAAACCCAGAGTTCATAAGTCAGCAAATAACCATGGGTTCTATTTGCGGCTTGTAGCTGATTAGCAAACTATAGGTTGTTTGCTGGGATTGATTTTGATACATTGAGAACCCAGATTTCAAGAAACCACAACATAGTTTAGAAAAATATATGCACCACGCAAATGCTGTAATGATGATAGTATTGTTCTGTTTTAAAGTTAGTTTGTATTTCATCATGTAGATATATTGTTGCACATAAAAGGGATGTAATGGAGCAATGAAGAAAAATGGACATCTGTGTTACACTGACCCTAGAACAATGATGCTCTAAGTAAAATTAACTTTTCTCTTTTAGTCAAACAGGCAACCTGCTAAGTTGAATTTATTAACCTGCCAGGTGAAACCAAATGCTGAAGACAAGAAATCTTTTGACTTAATATCACGTAAGTTATACTTCAAGTTAATTAGCATTTTTATTATATAGAGTAAGTGTAGGCAGTCTTCATACATTTCATTTTCTTTGGCTATGAGGACTCATTTTTCATGTAGTGATTTGCATTTGTGTACTCTTATTTTCGGGATTGCAGTTTTCTTGACCCCAGCCCCATGCATTCCCACTTCTCCTGCCTTTATATCCTGCAACATTTTCCTATTCTTCCCCCCCACCCCACCCCCACCCCACCCCATGCTTGGGAATCCCTACTTCTGCCTGAATCTGCTGTGAACATCTCAGTAACCACAAACCCCTAAACAGGAAGCAGGAACTCAGCAATTCAGGAAACTTCCACGCAGTCTGCTGACTGCCTGCTTTCTAGTTAGGGCTTTGTGGTTTCTGAGGCAATATAGGCAATGGACACATTCTATAGAAGGTGCATGGAGGTTGGATGAAGTGTGTGTCGAAGAGCAAAGTTGGTAGGCAGGGATTTGGGTGTCTTGGCGGGCAACAATGGGGATTTTGGTGCCAGACCATGTGCCTGTTGGCACCATATTGCCAGCTACTAATGAAGAGTCATTTGGATTGGGTTTGCATTGATGGTTATTCTGAGTTTCATATTTATGAATAAGTTACCCTCTTTAGATTTTTTTTAGAACATAATATTATTTTAAACATTTACTACTGAAAATTGGTATTTTGAAGGTTTGCAAACACATTGCAACCTATGTCCTCAGGAAATGCTTTTCTAATGTAACTCTTTATTCATAAACAATGTAATGTAAAAAATCATTAGAGCGTAATTTTGAAGATTTACATGTTTATGTTCCAGATAACAGAACATACCACTTTCAGGCAGAGGATGAACAAGACTACATAGCGTAAGAATTTTTCATTTCTTGCCTCTGTAGAAACTTTGGTTTGTCCAGGTACAAATTAAAAGCAAACACTAAAACCATTGTTTTCTTGCACGACTGATTTTGCCAGTTCATGTATGACATATCTAGGCTTTCCTGAAAATCCCTATCATGTGTGAACAGTGAGAAATTTGCTGGTTTTCCTTTCCTGCAACAGCCTCTCATGGTATGCCACTGCAGAGGGTCTCCTGACCTTTAGAGAGAACGTTTTGTAACTAGTAGAGGGACTCTTACTGCATGTTTATATGTGTACATGAAAAAATGTAATACTGGGACAAGCTTGTGTTCGTAAGCACACGTGTAGTCATAGTTGTATTTGCAAGCATTCTAGTGTCATACTTGTAGAACTAGGATTAACCTGATGACTAACAAGTTCACCCTGTTTGGAGCAATGGCCAGCTGTAACCTTAGACAGGAACATTCCTTCTAGGAGGGAATATATTCTGTAGGCTCCACTTGTTTTCTGCAATTAGAAGCAGGTAAGAATTAACACATCTACCACCGTGGATGTAATAGCAATCATTTGCAAGCCTTTTCTCTCTTCTCCCTTTGAGAATTGCACCAGGTCATGTCTGCTGCTTGGACAGCTAGGCCATAGAAAGTGGCTGTTATATGCACCTCTTGCCATTTCCCTTGCATGTTTTTAAGATAAATGGGTATCAATGTTATAAATCTAGCCTATTGCATCATATTACACAATATTTTCAAGTCTACTAGTTCTGGGGTGCTTCCAGGCAGGTGGCATTTGTGTTAGTAAATCTCTTCTATGCCATTTTAACCTACAGTGCAAAAGAATTTCCGTATTATTTGAGAAATAGTGTGCATTTTCTACATATATATCCCACTGTTTTCCAACAATTTTGCAAGGTGGTTAATGAAAGTGATAACTGGAAAGAAGTGTTTAATTATTTTTATTAGTATTATATCTCCATTTATAATATAATTTTTCTCGAGATAGCATTATAGGGGTAATACAAGTATAACCCTGCACCTGTATAATACTTTTTAAAAATCATTTCAAAAAGAAATTTCCAGCCAGCAGCATTAATACCTGCCAGAGGATGCTTTTTAATATATATTTTCATTTAAGTGGTATTTGTATATTATTTGTATTGAAAAAATCTTCAGTACTACTTAAAAGATTGATTTTTAAATGTGGTTAATAAAAATGACATACATTACAAGGGTTCTATTGAATATGTACTGTGCTGAATTAGTTTTTTCTGAGCTGAATTAGTTTTGGAGGATATTTGATAGCCTCTGGGTTAGCCCTCTTCTCTGGATGCCAGGCAGGGTTCCTTTGACTTGATCCTCTCATATGGAAGGGGGTACCCAGATTTTCCTAAACTGATATTGCCTGGTATCCACTCCAGTAAGCTCAGCATACCTTTTCTTTAAAGAGAATTATATAGCTTTTGAGTATTGGAATCCTGCTTCTCATAGTTTCCACCACACACAAGAAGAGGTTTCTGGAGCTTTCCTTGTTTCTGGTGGGGAAAGGGCAATCTCCCCCATCCCTAACTGGGTAGTTGTGCTTACGTACCACTGTATTGGAAGCCTACGACAGTGAGGTGGGTGCCAGAACTACTGTGTTGTCCCATATAGTTCAGGCAATTGCTTGCCATGAATAGAAAGGGAAGACTTGGCACTTCATCGGGACTAGGCAGACATGCACAATCACTGGAAAAGGCACTTGGGGGGAACAGCAGGCCCTGGGGTCTACTCTGCCCCTCTGGGCCTAGTTCAAATGCAGATGGTACCAGTGTATTCAGCACCACATTGCTCTTTCCGGGGTTGTGGACTGCAGGACCGAGCAACAGTAGAGATTGCTGCCTTTACCAATAGGTAACTACTGCTTTGGGAAGGTTCCTTCAGGGAACAGGGCCATGGTACTGAGTCTGGAGAGAAGTTTCATGCTAGGAAAAGGGAAGTCAGATGCATGCCTTCAGCAGGTTACAAATAATTCTGTTGGCATATGTTAGGAGTTGAGCCTTTCTCACAACCTTGCTGGTTCCTGATCTCAGTGGGAGCTGATCTCATCCTAACTCCTTAAGGCAGATTGTTTCTCAGGAACTTAAGGGGGTCACACTCCCAATTTGTTGAAGGTGGTATGGCAACTGCTGTCATTTCTACTCTAGGACATATAAGGCACAGAAATAAAAGAAAATAAGGCATCACTGGTCCTCCAGCAGTAGATCCAGCCACAAGAAGGCAAAAAAGGAATTGCAAGTCATGTCATTGCCACTTGTTTTTTCCCAGTTCTCCTAAGGAGTCTTTCCCCACTGATTTCCTTGGAGGAACTTAAAAGGCAAGAGATCAAGTTTTGCCTAAGTCCTGTTCCCTCTTCTTTATTCTGATCTTCTCTGGGGTTTTTTGTTCCAGTTCTACAGATCATTGTTTCCTTCATAGTTTTTTACCTGGTATATGCTTGGCGACCCATTTGCAAGCAGAGTGTGTGTGGGCTACAGATTGGTTCATCTAAGTACACTTCAGAATTTAGCAGTACCTACCCAGATTGTGAAGGAGATGTTTTCTGACATATTTAACAGCTTATTATGTTAGAAAAAGCTTACATTCTGCATCTATGACATACAGACGTTTTCTCCTATATCAACAGTATATTTATATAATGGATGAATCATTTATCTAAAAATATTAATGGCAGGGTTTTTTAGTATATGTCATAAAATATTTTAGTATAGTTCATATTTATTCCTGGTGTGATGTGAATTGAATCATGCCCCATCCAGTGGCTTGGAAGAACAATTTGATTCACTGGAGGTGAATCTCTACCCACTTTCATCAACAGTGTCTTCCTTCATGCTGTGAACAGTACAATAATCAGGAACAGAATCATTTTTATGAGTTAATAACTTACTCATCCCTCGTATGTTCCTTCTACCCTTAGATTAAGAAAGTTAAATTTGACCTCATGGGATGATCTCCTGGGTGCTTCCTATTCTCTTTCCCCTGTTGTTTCAGGTTGCTGCAAAGAGCAGTCTGGTTCTAAAAAAGCTTTTCTGTAGCCGTGAGAACGAGAAATTATATTATGTTTTTCTGATCCTACCTCCACTTTGCTCATAGAGATTTTTCCCTGAGATTTTATGTGAGCGTTCTGAAAGAGGAAGCCTGATTCCCATGATTTCCTTTCCCATGGTTCTGTGCAGGGGTCCCCAGTACAGCACTTGCATGCACCACTGTATCCTCAAGGTTAAACTGAATGACCACAAAGCTCTTTTCTCCTTATGCAAGCCTATGGAGCAATTGCTCATCAGCTTATTAGAGGGAGTAAAAAGAAGCAATGCTATCCAAAACTGGTTGAAGAGGGGCAAAGGAAAACAGGGTCCTTGGTGGAGAGGGGCATTACCCCTTCTTTAGCTTTTTCTTTAGCTTTCCATTCTGTGTATGCGTTGAAGTATATTGCACCATTGAATTGCATGGGGAGGGAGAGAGAAAGAACAAACAGGAAGAAGAGCCAGAGGAAAGGGCAGGGGAGAAGAAAGGACAACAGCTGGAGTTGTGTGGGGGAGCATCTAGGAGATCCTTCCCGACGTGGCTTTCTCTCATTTCATGCTTATAAATGGAGACTTTCCATCATTCTGTAGCATGGGATAGCAAAAGGGGGACAGTGAAAGAGTCAACAGAAGGAGTGTGCTTTCCATGAGCTGTCTGAATGTTAGATGCTTAAGGGGTGGTATAATAGGCAAAACTGAGATGCTTATTGGATTTAGCTACGGTAAATTACTTGCAGAATTTAAAATAGCACTACAAATAACTGTAATTGTGTTTCTTCAGTTCTGTGTTGTTATACAGTTGTTCATAAATGGATCAAATACCATCATGTTCCTCTGTGAGATTTTGTTAATTTCATTTGCAATGCACTTGATTTTAAGTTGATAATTAATACCTTGATTTTAGCATTGAAACATTTCAGGGTATACCTCATAAAGCAATATACTAGCTAAAATGCGCTTATTAAAATAAAGAATTACTCCGTGCACTTATCAAGTGACTAATCCAATAATTAATAGATCATCTTGATCTCATATATAAATAAGATTCTTTTATTTATTTTTATTTTATTTATTTAAAACTTTTATATACTGTCCTTAACTAAAAAGTCCCAGGATGGTAGTACAATGAAATAAAAGTACAGCATCAGAAGATTTTAGGGTTTAGATCTCAATCTTCTTTTAATTGATTACAAATAAACTGGTCACTGGATGGAGAAATAGTACCAAATGGTCTGTTCTGTTAGGCCCTGATAACATTCCTGGTCATTAATTCTACCTGCCCCTTGTTGGTTGTGTTTTGACTTTAATACACTCGTGATGGGTACTCTTTTTTTCATATATCCTAAGGCAATAATCTTTCCTAGATTAGAGCCATAAATAAATGGCATATTCTTCCTTTTCACAAATGCAGTTTGCTGTTAAGCTGTGAGATCCTTTTAGCAAGAATGGTTGAAGAATTTCAACCAATGGTTGAAGAGTCTACCAAGTAAAGGTTGGCGAAAACAAACTTTACTTGGTTGTGAAGAGCACAAACACCTTTTTTTTCTGGACCAAAAGAAGACTTGGTTTAGATTGCAAAGTTATTTGGCTTAGCTGTGCTAGCAGGCAGCATTCTTCACATGTGCCTATCCCCAGAATGACCCTTGATAACATAGCTCTTACAATCGAAGAACATATTTCACCTTTGGTTAAAAATCCTGTTAGTGAGCTCTCTTGGCAATGCTATTCCAGCAAATCTCATTATGCAAGAACAAAGATTTATTTGGAATATTAAAATATAATATCCTAAATTCGAGCCCAGCAGCATGTGACGGAGTAAGTCTGCTTTTGGACTAGGCAGGCGCTAGAGGCCTGGAACAGTCCAAAAGAATGCATTAAATGTAGATAAACAGGTACCACTTTGGTGGGGAAAAGGTTAGCTGCATTTGTGAGGAGAAGCGGCAAGCGGGGACTGAACCTGCCTGGACACAAGACAAGGCAGGATCAGTGGAAGAAGCCTGGATGAGCTGACAAAACCTGAATGCCAGCTTGTCTGCATGTGTGTGGATCTAGTTTGCCCCCTGCATTGCACACTGGATAAGTGCACGAGTGTGAACAGAATGAACTAGCACTTTGTAGGCAGCCAATCTACTATGTGGTTCTCTGGGCACCGTCTTTTCTCTGAGTGGACAGTGCTGTGTCAGTTATGTATTTATTTTATTTATTTAATAAAAGCTTTTCTAACCCATTCCCTACAAATGTCTTGGAACGACTTAAAATAAATGAGTAAAATAAACATCACAGCATCTGACAGTTAATATACTAAAACCCCAGTTAAAATCAATTAAACATTAAAATAGCAGGAAAATAAAAGGGTTTTTGCCTGACTCAGAAAAGAATATAATGTTGGGGCCAGGTGAACCTCTCTGGGGAGCGTATTCCATAGTCTTGGCGCCACCACAGCGAAGGCCCTCCTCTGGGTACTCTCCCTCCTAATCTCCTTCAAGGAGGGCTCCCAGAGCAGGACCTCTGCCTCAGATCTCAAGGGGTGGGAGGGCATATAGGGAAGAAGTCTCTCCTTCAAGTATCCTGGACCCAAGCCATTTAGGGCCTTATAGGTCATCTCCAGCACCTTAAATTAGGCCTGGACTTGAATTTGTAGCCAGTGTACCCAGTGGAGGACCAGCGTTATATGTGAAAACCGGCTGGTTACCATTAACATCCTGGCAACCCTATTCTGAACCAATTGAAATATCTGGACTTTCTTCAAGGGCAGCTCCACGTAGAGCACATTACAGTAATCCAACCAGGAAGTTACCAGAGCATGGGTCACTGTTGCCAGGCAATGCTCATCGAAGTAAGAGCTCAGTTGGTGGATCAGCTGAAGCTGAAGAAAAGTGCTCCTCACCACTGCTGCCATCTGGTACTCCAGGGACAGCTCCAGGTCGAGGAGCACTCCCAAACTGCGTACCCTGTCCTTTAGGGGGAGTGCAACCCCATCCAGGACAGGGCTAAAATCACTTGCCTGGAAGGCTGAACCACCTACCAGAAGGACCTCTGTCTTGTTACCATGGTATAAATGAATGTGGTTTGGCAGAGTCTTGTTTCTTAGCCCATCCCACCCTTTGATTATCTTACTTTATTTGTGCCAAAATGGAAAGATAAAGTATTAAAAATGTCACATCTCCTCCTTTTTCCAATAGATATCTTTTACTGGTAGTCCTTCAATGTTGACTTTCATTAAATATGCAATTTATTGCTGAACTTTAGGTAATATATGACTAAATATTAGCCATTCTTCTGGCTAATATTGTAAGAGCTTTACTTAGAGTAAAAGGCTGTCAACTTTTACATAAATCAACTGCCACTAGACTAATTTTATCTCCTTTTTTGTCTTCTGTTGATTGATCAAGTGTTACAAATGCATAATAAAGCCAAATCAGTTTGATTAGGATGTTGTAATTATTTCGGTGTACCATTTTCTTTTACTGACAAAAGTAAATTATGTAATCTTAAACATTTGTGGTTGTGTAGTTTCAATTCCTGCCAGCTTATAAGAATAAAAGGATACTTTTCTTTTAATTTATTTTACATTCTGTTTCTAATATTCTGATTTTGCACTATTGAAATGCACAAATAAGGGAAGTCTGAAAGAAGTCATAGGGTTTGCTTCTACAAATAGACAGCCAGGCAGTAGAATACGCTAAAAGGTTTGCATGTTCTTTAGGACCTCAGCTAAAGGAAAGTCTTCCCAACAGAGAGGAACTCAGTGATTGCTTGTGCAACCTCAGTCATTTTGTTCCATGGGCATTTAATTTGTGGTTACAGCTTTGCATTGTTGCCCTGTTGATCTTGCTTTAGTGATACTCCTTCCTTTCCGCTACATCTGATTCCTCCAACTGTACCAGGGCATCACAATCCAAGAACATATTGTGTACCCTCAATATTGGGATGCGCAACAAGCCAAAGGCTTGAACTTGAATTCATAAAAGCCGAAGCAGTGATCTGGTAGCAGTCACTCTTGCACCCAGGCTGGGAAAGCAAATAAACATCAAAGTGAAGTGAGCTACATACATGGACCCCAGTAATTTCTTTAAGGAAGCCCCCTTTCAGCAAAATCCCCAAAGCTAGAGGACACTCTGTTTTAAACATTTTAACATAGAAATGCAATCATAGAATTTGATATAAAATTCAAGATGTTGTTTGTTTATTAGAATGCTGTTCTGTCTATTAAAACTTACTAACAAGCATTTTCATTACATCATGATGCTTGTACATTCTGATATCCCATCTGCTTAATAGGTAGCAAATTTGAATTTTCACTCTGTTCCAGAATTTCAGTAGTGCAGCTTAACTGTTTGCTTCAGAGCACAAACGTCAGAGTTTTTATCAGTATTTTGTAATGAACAAAACCATTTATCCCTTCCAGCTTGTCTCCTATTTCTAACTTGTTACATTTTTTCCTATGTTCTTTCTATGGTAATTTTTTCTTTCATTATTCAGATTACTGCCGCCCCCACCCATCTCCCACTGTTCCATTAGCATATACTGGCTGCTTTTGTTCTTTTAGACCTTTTCCCCCTTGCATTTATTATTGCACTGGGGAAATAACTTTATTTTTTTTTAAATTGTATTTTGTATTAGATGGATATCAGTACTGACCAACAGCAAAGAAGAAGCTTTAAATATGGCATTCCGTGGAGAACAGAGCACAGGAGAAAATAGTTTAGAGGATCTCACAAAAGCCATTATTGATGAGATACAGAGATTACCTGGAAATGATGTATGCTGTGATTGTGGGTCACCAGGTACTTTTCCATGCATTAAATACAAGTATGTTGTTTTAACATGGAAATTGACTGTTCCAAATGTTCATTTCATTTTCAGAATTCATTGTAGAAATTTATAGCAAAGCTATCACATATCAGGCATTGTCTTACTGTTATAATAATACATCTATAAATCCTACTGTCACTGAAAAGACAAATAAGACTATTGAAAGTTGTGTTTTCTTTCTGTTTTTTTTTCCAGATCCAACATGGCTTTCAACTAACTTGGGTATTTTAACCTGTATAGAGTGTTCTGGAATACATAGAGAAATGGGTGTTCATATTTCTCGAATCCAGTCGTTAGAACTAGACAAATTAGGAACATCTGAACTCTTGGTAAGCAACTTTATAAAAACTTTTTGTGTTAAAACAAATGCATGTGCTCAGTTACTGCTGATGATAAAGGGTTGAAGATTGGGAAGGCCGTAGCTTAGCATGTTCTTCATATAGAAAATCCTGGGTTCACTTTCTCAGCTAATGCTGGAAAAGGCTGGAACCCTGGAGAACTGCTGCAAGTTACTATACTGAACAAGATGGGAGAGTGGCCTGATTTTGTACGAGGCTGCTTTCATGTTCCAAATAAAACGGGTGTGTGTGTGTGTGTGTGTGTGTGTTTTTCCTTTAATAAATGTATTTCTGATGAATGTCTGATTTTTTGTGTGGGAGTGGCTTGCGTGAATGTGAAATTTGTGGTGACACTAGATTAGAACTTTACATTGAGAAAAGGGTTTCTGTGAGCACGAGGCTAGGATTATGAAGGAAGCATTATCTGAGACATTTTAAATATCTGTCCGTTTTACTATGCTTGGGGTCGCTATCACAAGATAGTATTGAAAAAGCATGCTTTACATATTATGCTTTGGATGTTTCCAGACTCCTGTTATCATGCAGTCACCCTCCCTTTTTCACAGATTTTTACAAAAATATCTTGAACTTGTAAATTTCCCATGTTTTCCCACTTCTTCTTTCAACCTTTTCATTCCATGAAAGGTCTGCTAAGGGAGATAGAATAACAACAATAATAACAAACTCTGAACAATAATAAACTCCTAATTGCAGTACTTTCTTAACTTCCACAGCTGGCCAAGAACATAGGAAACAATAGTTTTAATGAAATTATGGAGGGTAACTTACCAAGTCCTTCTCCAAAACCCACCCCATCAAGTGATATGTAAGTAATGAAGAAGCATTATGTTTGGATGAAATTAATGTGGAAAACAGGAACAGGAGAAACCTTCATATAAAACAAAATCAAGAGATAAATGTTAACAAACATGAGGCAACTTTTCAGATGGCATTTTTCACTCCATCTCTTTTTCGCCAGCACAATTCACATTGCTTATTCTTCTATATTATCCTGATAACCAGAAGCAACTTTTGTTTGAAATTCAGTATTCATATTTGTGTAGTGCATTTGAGATAGCAGAAATAATATATTCAGAGCCAAACTGGAAAAGCTTTAAGCATACAGAGAATATAGACCCTTTCTGCTTACAGTGTAATCTATAAGGTGGCTTCAAGTGATTTTCAGGATGTCTCTTTTCTTCCTCTGCTCCCAGTATAGCAGAATTGGCTGACTTCTGTGTAGCATTTTTGAGGGGCTGCTGTTGGGAAGAGAGGCATGAAAATCTGCTTCCCCCAGTTCCATACTTGTTTGTTTCATTTGTTTGTTGGACTTCCACAGGAAGTGGTTGAAGCCCCATTGGTGAGAGTGTTCAAGGATATTTATTTGTTTTATTTATTTAAAACGTTTGTATACTGTCTGCTACCAAATAGCCTCAGGGTAGTCTTACAATAAAACAAAGTAGGGCACAGCATCCATTCTATACAATAAAACCCCAATTAAAATCACAATCTAAACTTTAAAATACTGGGAAAATAGAAAGGTTTTGGCCTGACACCGAAAAGAATAAAGTGATGGAGCTATACAAACCTCTCTGGGGAGTGTATTCCATAAAAAGGGCACCACCTCAGAGAAGGCCCTTCTCTGGATAGCCACCCTCCTAATCTTCTTAAGGGATGGGAAGGTGCATAGGGAAGGAGACGCTCCTTCAGATATCCAGGCCCTAAGCCATTTAGGGCTTTACAGGGCATCACCTGCACCTTAAATTGGGCCCAGACTTCAATTGGTACCCAGTGTAGATGGTAAAGGATTGGCATTATATGTGCATATCTGCCAGTCCCTGTAAACATCCTGGCTGCTCTGTTCTGAACCAACTGAAGTATCCAGACTAGCTTCGAGGGCAGTCTCACATAGAATGTGTTACAGTGGTCCAATCAGGAAGCCAGTAAAGCACAGGTCACCATTGCTAAGCTCTGCTCATCCAGATAAGGGCGCAGTTGATGAAGCAGCCGAAACTGAAGGAAAGTGCTCCTCACCACAGCAGCCATCTGGGACTCCAGGGACAGCTCTGGGTCAAGGAGCACTCCCAAACTGCGTACCCTATCTTTTAGTGGGAGTGCAAGCCCATCCAGAACAAGGCTAAAATCACTTACTGGGAAGGTTGAACCACCTACCAACAGGACCTCCATCTTGTCTGGATTAAGCCCCAATTTATTGGTCCTCATCCAGCCCATCATGACGGCCAGACCCTGGTTAAGGACAGTAACTGCCTCACCTGGATTAGATGTAAAAGAGAGATTGAGCTGGGTGTCATCAGTGTACTGATGAATCCATAGCCTAAACCCCCGGATTACCTCTCCAGTGGTTTTATGTAGATGTTAAGGAGAATGAGGGATGAAGTGGAACCCTGTGGAACTCCATGGCAAAGCTGACATGGCACAGAGCCACAATCCCTCAGCACCACCTTCCAGTAGTCCTGTGTTCAGATGGTCAGTTTTCTCCAAGAGAGATTTCAGTTGCCCAGCCACCACCCTCTCGAGCATCTTGCCCAAGATTGGCTGGACATGCACATGGTAGGCATGTCATGAGCAGAGCTGGCTGGAGCTGGGTGGGGGCCAGACTAGATGGCCTGGGAAGCCCCTTCTGACTCGCTCTCATTCTAAATGTAGATCCATTCCCATTTTCTGAGAGGCCTTTTCAGTTCTAAGCTTGTGTGTCTTACAGTTACATATTTGCAAGTAGGCAATTGAATGTGCCCTTAGAAGCTTGGGTCAGTTTTTTATTTTCTTTACCTGTTAGAAAAAGAGTGGCCATGCAGGACACAATTTTCTTAAGCAGTCTTGTACTACATTTGTAATGTTTCATTTATGCTGCAGAACCTCTTGCTCTGGAATATCTTTTTGTAAAACTGTTTTGTAACATTGATCATTTTGAATGATTTGTGAAAAGTAAAATATAAAACTTTTATACAGGGCTCTACAAGTTAATACTTTTAATAGCTCACTCAAAAAAGCGACCAAACTTCATCTAGTAGGTCACACTTTATGGTGTCTCATGATTTCAACCACATTCTTCCTTGATTGCGGGACTTTGTTTCTGAATACGACACTGCTTTAGGCCTGGAAAAAATGTCTGCTTTGAATTCCCTAAAAGGACCATCCTCTAGTCTCCAACACTTGATTGGCCTTGTTCTGATCATTTTATGGTTCTGCACTCTCTCATTCTTAGTCATTCTACCTCCCCCCACCCCCAGTAGTCCTTTATGCTTAGCTGTTCCGACAATCCCAAACTATTCCTTTCTATATGATGCTGGGACAATTATAGGTTCCTTTTACAGTCTAGGCTTGAAGAGAGGCATATGATGGATCCTGTGGGTTAATTATTTCTGCACTGGTATAATTGGGAACTGTTGCCAAAGGTGCTTCATACAATTATCTTCTATGGAGTTTCTTCATAGCTCTGAGTGTTTGAAAATATACTTTAAAATACAAACTGGTTATCTCAGGGTTTTAATATGTAACTTAATATGCAGATAAAACTTCCAGTTACATCTGTGAATTGGTATTTGCATTTCTACATAAAACAAAAATTGGATACTTGTTTTATTTAAAAGCTTAACCTTGGGAGGGGAGGATATTTTCTAATTTAGAGGTCTCATGGTGAAAGCAGATTAGGAAAATAGGTGAGCAAATGATCACTGACTTGTTCTTCAAATGGGTTCCTTTTTCATTCTTTAAATTTAATCTGTGACCTCAAATGTTAAATGGAATCTGATGATTTATTGAAAAGTAATCTGCTATTATGGTGCTTCTAGTAATTTTTTTTCCATTTTCAGGACTGCACGTAAAGAATTTATTACTGCTAAATATGTAGATCACAAGTTTTCCAGAAAGTCTTGTGCATCTGCATCAGCTAAACTAAATGAACTACTTGAGGCTGTTAAATCCAGGGATTTACTTGCACTAATTCAAGTCTATGCAGAAGGGGTTGAGCTAATGGAGCCATTGCTGGAGCCTGGACAGGTAAGACATCAGACAAGTGAGCCCAAAGATATAACTGTAATAAGAAAGCCCTGAAGCCTAGAAAGAGAAGACAGATAATGATTAATGGGTAGTTCACAGTGACACAGCTGCTATTGTACTACATAATCCTTCTCCAAGAGGCAATTTATGCTATTTTGCTTGTGTGCATATGAGACTGGTGGCCAATTTTATCTACTTAGGCTGTTTGTGTTTTGTTTTAAGTTAATAAATAACTGAACGTCTTGGATGTATTTTGCCTGAGAAAAATCTTTCACCCTGCAGCATAGCACTTATATCCAGAGAAAAATACTCTAGGGTCCTTCATACAAATCTCTTTCTTCTATCTTTAGGAGCCAGGGGAAACAGCTCTTCATTTGGCAGTCCGGACTGCTGACCAAACCTCACTCCATCTGGTTGACTTCCTTGTACAAAACTGGTAAAGGCTATATTTGCTTGTATCCTGAGGTGTAAGAAGTAACTCAGTTTCTTTCAGACTTTGAAAATCTAATCTGCGATCCCAAGCCTTTGAATTAAGAATATTGATACTATTCTATAATAAATAAAATGTAATGAAAGTCTTTCTAGACCCATCTAATCTTGGGCTGCTGGTTGACTTGCAGGCTAAACATGAGTCAGCAGTTTGTTACAGTGATCAAGAGGGTGAACACCACCCTTGGTTGCGTAGCTAGAAGCATGGCTTCTAGATCAAGAGAGGTATTACTTACACTCTATATGACTCTGATGTGCCCACAACTGGAGTATTATGTTCAGTTTTGGGCCCCTCGTTACAGGAAGGATAAAGCCAGGTTAGAGTCAGTGCAGTGTAGGGGCACAAGATTGGTGGCAGATTTTCAGGGAAGGCCGTATGAGGCAAGACTGAGGGAGCTGGGTCTTTTCAGCCTGGAGAAGAGGAGGCTCAGAGGGGATCTGTTGGCGACATACAGGTATGTGAGTGGGTGTCACACGGAGGTGGGTAGTAGTAATACAACCCTTATTTGACCTCTCAGTGAGCAGTTTACCACAGTTGCAAGATTTCTTTCTGGGTTGGTAACCGAATTAACAGTGTGTCAGTCAATGTAGATACGAAGTTGGGATGTATATTTTTTCCCCGATGTGAGTGCACATTTTCATACATGCACTGGTCACAGCCTCTTGCATTCTTCTGACATGGCCCCAGTATCCAGCATCTAACTGCTGCAACACTGTGGATCGGAGCAACCTTGAATCCTCATTCTGCCACCACCACAAGGTTCTTGACCATTTTCTTGCAGCTGATGTAGTTTTCTTGTCCTCATATTTATGGATAAGACACATGCATGTTTGTCAAACTGGTGGTAGAGGGGGTAGACAAAAGATGCTCTGCCATAATGTTGCATCCGGTAGAAATCCTGGATGATAGAAAGAGATTCCAACTGAAATAGGGGGATAGGATGGCTATTACTGGAGTACCTCAAACTCTTCCAACTGTCAGAATATAATGTTGATATTTCTTTATCTTGCCTAGTTATAAATGTTTATATAACGTTAGTATAGAATAAAATAATTCATGCATGTGCACTTACGGGCATATGCTCTGCAAACACAATATAAACTATTTGTTATGACACACTAATACTGTTCTTTACTTTGATTTTTAGTGGAAACCTGGATAAACAGACAGCATTGGGGAATACAGTTCTGCACTACTGCAGTATATATAATAAGCCTGAATGTTTGAAATTGCTTTTGAAGGGCAAGCCAGCAATAGATATAGGTGAGTCAGCCTGTCTGTTTGGAATATTTTTCTGTATTCCATACAAAAAAATTAAAGAAATATTCTTTAAACAGGGCCATTAGAATTAAATGCAAGAAAATGCACAGGTGACTGGAATGGAAATGTTTCAAGTTAGACACAGACTAGAACTAATTAGAAATCTTTCTCAGCTAATTAAAAATATTCCTTAGTGCAAATCTTTTGATTCCTGATTTGCATTCTGGTCATATTTCAAATATACCTTTGATAATATATCTCAGCTATTACTGCCTTTGATATTAACTCATTAAAATGAAATGACATATTATTCCTGCTTTTCTAGATAATGAAAATTCAGGGCAACATTTATAAGGTCAATTTTTATTTATGTTCCTTCAGAGTACTTAAAGCCTTTTTAATGAAAATTAATGAATTTAGAGATTTACAACTGAGATGTAAGGGTGGGGTGTCAGGGTAGTATTCTCAACATAGGATGTGTTTCCAGAATCTAGGAAGATCCAGCCTCTCCACAACATTCCTTAGCTTCTAGTACCCAAGAAAGCCTGATCTTAGCTGCTAACCATTACACACATCTACTTTCCTTGCAGTAGAGAAGTAATGAATCCCAGCAGCTGACCAGCCAAAATAATGTTCCTTAATTGCGAACTGGATTATTTTTCATATTCCTGAATTGATTTAATTGATCAATGGGAGCGATTGTTCTCCCAGATCACTTTTGGTGTACTTATCAATAGTTTGATATTTATTTAATTTACTTCTTTAGTTTTTCAGAATACTGAATTTAATTTTAACATGTTTGAGTTTAGTTTGACTAATTAGCTAATTTCATGTTTAAACTTTATAGTAAACCATACTGGAGAGACAGCTCTGGACACAGCAAAAAGACTGAAAGCTATTCAGTGTGAAGATTTGGTAAGAAAACAAAATGGTTGCAATTATGGGACGGAGCAAGGAAGGGTTTTGAAAATTCCACTAGCTGTGCAGAGAAATACAACATTCATGGCTCATGTTCAGCAATCCCATTAGTAGAGTTGCTAGTAAGAAGAAGGGGAGAAGTGATTTTCAGCTAGTGCCCTTCAAAAAACTGCTCAGCGGATTGAACAGTACAGGAGATAGTACAGAATGGGGAACGAGAACTGGCAAAAATAATTTCTCCTCCATCTTCTGTGAGTAGCAGCTTCTGTTAGGTCACTGACCCTTTTGAGACTGGAGCCAAGTTTTTATATCTTGTACAACCATAGAATTTGAATTTTCATTTTTTAAAACCATGAAGATATACAAGCTTCTTACATTAGTGTAGGGCCGCTTCACTTGACACAGCAGACCTTTTCAGCTTTTCTTAGCCCTCTGTTTCTTCTCCTCTACGTTTCTCCAAAGGCTGCATTAAACCACTCTTTATATCTCCTGGCAACACTACTAACCCATCAGGGTTAATAGGCTGTCTATTCTGGGTTGCTTGCAGGAGCACCTAGCAAACATTAAACTTCTCATGGATTTCTTCTGCCCCTCCTTCCCCCTCAATCCAGTGGCCAGTGGCAGAATGCACCCTTGGTGTCTCAGTAGCAGAATCAACATCACATGATTCTTCGACCCATTGCCACATCAGCAGCATTTTACCAAATACCACACTGTCCAGTCTGGGAATGTTTTGCCTTTGTTGGCTCCCCTGCCTACCAACATTCTTCCTGACCCAATACCTTGGTGGCTGCCAAGTGCCCCTTAATAAAAATGCCAAAGTTTTCTTGTTGCTTCAGTCCCCCAGCTTGAGGTTTCCGTTGGGCCTGCTGTCTATCTGTTCTCCTTCCCTTTCTCTGCTGCCATAGAAGCAGCAGCTTTGGTTCAAACTGCCAAGTGCCTGTTCATAAGAACAACTTTTTCTGCTCATTTTTCCTCCAATTCCCCAGCTCGAGGTTTGTGCTGTAACATCTGGCTGCCCATCCTTGGCCACTCTTTCTCCTCTGCTGGAGAAGAGGATTTTGCTCAACATTGCCTCTTATTCTTCCTGTAGCTACCTCTGAACTCCCCCTAAAATAGTGCAAAGGCTGACTGTTAGACCAAAGAAATATTTACTGAGAAAATTATGAAAATGCAACAGCCACAAAAATGAAGTCTCACTGGGGAAGCACTTGGGGCTGCTTATAGGAAATGACTACAGAGATGTTTAGAGGAAACAGATGGCTATATTGCAGGTGGGTATAGGCAGGGGGTGGATATTCAAGTGGGGGATATATGGGCAGCTTAGAGAGGGTGCACTGGCTTGTTTTATATTACTTACCCATGTTTATAAGGAAGCAAGTTGATAGGGAGGAGCAAGGGGCTGCTTATACTTGAGGGTGTTTCTATGTTAGAATGAGAAACAAAAGCTACTCCTCCACTCCTAAGAAAGACATGTCTGTGGCTGCAAGTCTTTATGTATGGTACTCGTGTGTTTCAGATCCACTCTTGATATTTTTCACAAGTTGAAGCCTTGGCCCTCAGATCTGTGGGAAACCACTGGGGGTACTCCTTTTCCCAGCCATCAACAAAAACAGCATAGTTTTTGCCTCTGGTGCAAACAGGTTGGAGCATATCTCCCTTCAGCTCACAGATCTTGAGCAGGACGAAGCAGGCTGCCACCACCTCTGGAGCTAGGTCTTCCATGCCATCCTAATGTATATGCAGGGAGTGCCACCATACCTTTAACCTGCCAAAAGCACTCTCTGGGCTGTCTTATTTAGCTGTGCTGGCAATCAAAATTCTCTTGTTTGGTTGGTCTCAGAGGCCAGTAAAGCATCATGAGTCTTGGCTGAAGGGAAAAGGACTCCATGCTGAACTGGTTGGCACTTGACAAGCTGAGTGGACCTCCATTCCATCAATCAGTAGATGCCATTCTGGCTTCATCACTCATGGGAAAGTGCTCCATAGTGCTTTACAGGAACAAAACTATAATATGGTAAAGCTTTCCTTGGAAACAGAAAATAAACCTTTTCTAATAGATATTGGAGTAACAGTTCTAAATTTTGTGTCTTCAGCTTTCTCAGGCCAAAGCAGGAAAATTAAATCCACATGTACATGTAGAGTATGAGTGGAATCTTCGACAAGAAGAAATGGATGAAAGTGATGATGACTTGGATGACAAGGTAAAGAGCAGTTTTGGATCAGAAGTGTTCCACTTCTGAGGGGTCAGGTTTGAGGGGTGATTGCACACTCAGTACTCCCATCACTCCACCCTAATCTCTGGATTAGGGATCTTAAATATAATCATAGGAAGGGAACTATACACTTGATATTGTTAAAGTATTCTGTTAAACAATTCTACATAATGTAATATTTAAATCACATCAATTGTGCATTCACTTTTTCTCAAATATTTGTGAGATTAGTACAAAAAATGTAACTAGTGGCTGGTAATGCTTGCCTTGAACACTGAAGCTTGCTTGGAACACTGCTGCTGATGTCCTGATATATGCCTTGATACACCCTCTGCCCTACTCCTATGCAGCTCTAAGCTGGGGCAGAGACATGACAAATGAGGAGAGGATTAAGCACCTCCTGATATTTCTCTAATCAAAGGATTTGATGCAAACTATTCACTCTATTTTTTACCTATGAAAAAAAGGCCGGCATCATGTCTCCTGCTGTTAGTCTCTGGGTGTCACTAATCTGTTTAAGTTCCACTAAATAATTACAATGCATTTGTGAACAAATGCTTTTTATAGTTGCATGCTGCATAAAGGCTTTTCTTTCCTTTGGTCCTAACATCCATGAGATTTATGGACCTTCCATGTATCCACATAACAGATGCATAATGCAATGTTGTAGGTGCCGTTGAAGTGAATCAGGAAGTTCTTGATTGCACAAGGAGGTCCATTTATGTGTCAGCAACTTGTACATGAACCTATTTTTCGCCAGGCTCTTCATTTGAAATTCATCTTACTTCTGTTAACTGTAGGAAACTAGAGTACTCAAAGTATTTCTTTAGTAATTGCTTGTCTTTCATCTGCATTATCTTTTAAAGAACTGAATAGTACATATTATAATAAGCATGTTGAATTTTCCCACAGCCTAGTCCAATAAAGAAAGAGCGTACTCCAAGACCTCAGAGCTTTTGTCATTCTTCCAGTATTTCTCCTCAAGACAAAATGGCTCTGCCTGGTCTTAGCACTCCAAGGGACAAACAGAGACTTTCCTATGGAGCCTTTCCCAATCAGATTTTTGTCTCTGCAAGTGTAGACTCTGCAACTTCTCCAACAGCAGCAGATGCCCCTCCACTTCCTCCTAGAAATGCTGGCAAAGGTATGATGTTAAACACTGTTGCGACACTTTATTGTGACCCTTGGTAATTAACTGGGTTTTTTCTTCACTTCCATAATCTTACTCCTATGTTTAGCTTTTTGAAAAGATTATATTTGACAGTGTTCATCATAATTATTTGTAGAGACTTGATCTGAAAAATATGAAAGAAGAAAACTGCTAATAGCTTCAGAACTTGTAGCCAAACCTTCATATAATGTATTTGGGTCTCTTTAGTCGTGATGCAATTGTATCTGTACTGAAGCCTAAATGCAATTGAACAGCATTTGAGCGAAAGTGTTAATTACTGCTTAGACCTGGGTGCATTGTGAACCATATTCTTTAGGTTCCCCTGCCTTCGGTGTTCGTAGACCACAGACAGAGTCTGCTTGGTGTGGCATATTGGCTCTGGAATACTTTATTGGATTGCTTGGTAAAATTTTTCAACACTAGATGAATACCTTTCTATTTCCTAGGATCTTTTAGCTCAATTTTATTCTCTAGAAAACTGAGCATTTCCCCAGAGGTTTCTGTAGCCTGAATATCATTGTACTGTATTTGTAATTTAATACAATAAATATGCATTTGTGTTTTAAGTTGTTATTGCTTTTATCCATTTATCCACAGTTACTTTCTGCTCTGCGAAATATCCCATTTTCCTAGCATTTAAACCACACTATCAGTTCTTCTGCTAGGGAGTGTATCCATTATTTTTACTGCATGGGATGTGCTGGCATGAGACTAGCAGGCCCTAATCTCAGCAACTCTGGTCCTTCTTCACACATGGAACATTTAGCAGCCTTTCATAAATGATCCTGATAGATTTAACTGTTTGAGATATACTGCTTAATTCTACAGCCCTGGTCAAGCTGTGGAACACAGCAATGACCTGGGCAGTCGATACAATAACTTCTGATCACCCTCTCTGCTGTGTAGAGCATACACTCCAGAGATGAAAGTGATCAAACAAAACGGGAGATGGCTTGAGTGCAGATGGGGGTGGGCAGTGCTATCAGCACATGCAGTTGTACCCTGGTATGTTCCTACCTTCAGGCATATTCGGGGCAGTGAGGCAGCAGAGAAATAGCATTTCACTGCTTTGTTCAATTTTCAATCTGCCCCCTGAAGAATTGTTTATGGTCATTTGGAGCCTGTTACATATTGGCCCTAAGGACATCCTAGGCCTGTCAGAGGCCCTCTGTAATATTTTTATTGGACATTTCTGTGAAAAAGTTTCCTGCATCTCTGAAAAATTAGACTCCATATTTATAGCAGTCAAAACAGGTAACCACATTCTGGCCCAGTTTTCTTGGATGAGTTTCTTTTGGCATTGCTCAGGGCGTTGATAAGGTATTTGGATAGTTTGTGCAATCACATCTGTATCCTTGCCCCTACTAGCTTATAAAAGCCAGCAAGGAGTTAAAAACCAACGGGACCGGAGAGGTGGTCTACATCTCCTTAGGAGAGAGAGTTGTCCCCTGGGGCCTTGAAAGAGATAGTTGGTGAGGCCATTCTTGAAGAAATTCTCTCTGAACCCAGAAAAACTTAGGCTGGTTGCAAATGTTCCTTTTGTGGGCAAGGTTCTTGAGCAGGTCATGGCCAACCAGCTCCACATCCTCTTGGATGAAATTATTACCTAGATCCATTTCAGTCAGGATTCAGGCCAGGTTTTGGCACAGAAACAACTTTGGTTACCCTATATGATGACCTGTGCTGAAAGAAAGACATGGGGAATGTGACCCTGTTGATAACTCCTGGATCTCTTGGCAGCTTTTAATCCATTGACAGTATCCTTCTGGAAAGACTGTGTTGGGAATGGGGTTGCTACATTGCAATGATTCTGCTTCCACTTGAAGGACTGGCTTTGGAAATATTGTTCAATCCCATGGATTCCTCAGAGGTTTGTTCTGTCCCCCATGCTATTTGACAACCACTTGAAACCATTGAGTGAGATCAACCAGAATTTTGGATTGTGTTGCTTTCAGTATACTGATGACATATAGCTCTGTTTCTCATTTTCATCCCTGTCAGTAGAGGCTGTGAATGTACTAAACTGGTGCCTGACCATGACAATGAACTGGACGAGGGCTAACTGAAGCTAGACTAGATAAGACTGAGATGCTGTTAGTCAGCAGTTCCTTTGAACAGTTGGAGGGTGTTCAACCTGTTCTGGATGAAGTTGTTCTCCCCTTGAAGGGGCAGGCTAATAGTTTGAGAGTTTTTCTTGGAACCATCTTTGTCACTTGAGGCTCAGGTAGCCTTAGTGGCATGAAGTACCATCTTCCAGCTCTGGATGGTGGCTCAGCTATGCCTCTAAGTATACAGAGATATAGCCTGGATTCAGTAATATATGGTCTGGTGATCTCTGGTTAGTTTACTATAATGCACTCTTCATGGGGCTGTCCTTGAAAACACTTCAGATGCTGTAATTTGTGCAACATGTGGCAGCCAGACTAATAACCAAGAGTAGTAGATCTGAACATATTACCAGTACTTGCATGTTTCTGAGGTTGATTCAAGGTTTCTAAACTCTAAAGCCTCTACACAGTTTGGCACTGCAATACTTAATGGAGTGCTTATCCCAGCTGCAGTCTGTCTGGATACTACATTCAACTTCCAATGCCTTAGAGAAGGTCAGGGCAGCAACAAGCAGGAGAATCTTCTCCCAGCTTTGGAATGCTCTCTCCACTGAGGCCTGCCCAATGCCAACTTGGTCATCCTTTCAGTGTCAGGCTATGATGCCCCTCTCTGCCAAGGCCTTTAAAGACATGCAAGGATATTCAAGGGCTTAAGGATACTACTTGTCCCAAATATTTTATAGCTCTACCCTCTATCATATGTTGTTTTGGCTGGGTTTTTTTTTGTTTGTTGTTTCTTTGCTTTGGTTTTGGTTTTGGTTTTTTGTTTTGTTTTTATTTTGGAAATTAATAAATTGTTATTTATCACATAGTTTTATGAGCTGTTGTAAACAACTCAGACAGCTTCAGCTATTGAGTGGTATAGAAATGAAATAACTAAACCTTGGCCATATTTTTATAACTGAAATACCCAAATGTCAAAAACATAAGATTAGACACAGATTTAGTCATGGAGTAGACCCACTGAAATAAGCAGAACTGACATTACTCATAATGGTTAAGTAGTTGAAGCACTGCCTGCTGTGTCTAAATATTAAACTCTAATTCCTTTGCAGCAGCTTCTTTCTGATTCTCTGTGTAACATGCACTGTTCCAATCAAAGTACTTGTATTTTCTGGAACAGCTAATAATGAAATGTGAATGTTGTTAATCTTACTAATGTTTGGAATGGCTTCTTGTTTTTCAGTCCTTTGTTAACCTTTATTGTCTACTATGGTCTAATTTTGAGTTCTTTGGTTTTAACCCATCCTTGTGTTTGTAAGAAGATGTTTGTTTGATTTTGCAGGTCCATCTGGCCCTCCTTCAACCCTCCCTTTAAGCACTCAAACCACTAGTGGCAGCTCCACTCTATCTAAGAAGAGGCCCCCTCCCCCACCCCCTGGACACAAAAGAACCCTCTCTGACCCACCAAGCCCACTACCTCATGGACCCCAGAATAAGGGCCAAATTCCTTGGGGTGAGTTTTGAAATACTAAATAAAGATAAATCTCAGAGTGGGAAATATATAAGTAATTGTGCGTGTTTTTCTGGGGTTTATACTGAGGTAGTCATAATGACTCCATTCAGCCATCTCTTCAAACTCTGGCTAAGGAAGTTTGATTATGATTTGGTGGAATGTTTATATGAATAACACTGTTAGCCAGCAAACCAGAATCCAGAATTACGGTTTGAAGTTTGGGAATATGATTTTTGCTGCAGTTGGGCATGATGCCCGAATTGGCAGAGCATCACTTCACCTCCAGAGGTCCTACTTCCAGAAAAAAGACTGCTGAGCAGATACAAGAAGTTCTAAATCAAGTTTTTCTTATACATTTGGATGCTGAAACTATAGTTCTAGTTCCTCATACGATTAGTGCAAACCATGGTTGGATGTGATACCTGATTTGAGAAAATGACTTCTAAGTACACATTTAAAATTCCAGCTGCTAGGTCTGGTCTTCTGTGTTATTTTTTCCTGGATCAGTACAAAGACTTCTACCTACATTTTTCCTGGTGCTTTCCCTAAACTTTTCTTCAGCTAAACAATTTGTTCCAGTGTGATATTTCCGTACATTAAGTTTTCCAGGCAGGACTGTTCTTAAACACTTCCATTTTAGTTCTAAAAGTTGATTGAACTTTAAAAGTTAAAAGTGGTGATACCTTTGGAAAATCCTCTATAATTTAAATTGGTGAAAAATATTTGTGTTTAGAATTTAGGAAAATAAGAGGGACTGTACAGCATCTCTGAAAATAATTAAATGGGGATATTACTTTAAAGCAAATTGAAGAGTAGAATTCCAAAGCTATTAACAGCTTCATGTGGATGGGGATTTTTCTGTCAGCTTATACTTCAAAATTAAGCTGGCAATCAGCTATTACAGGTTCAAGAGTCAAATGCATAAAAGTAGATGAAACATGATAAGAAAAATATTTCTGTACACACAGGACTAGTGCATATGTAACAGCATCCTTTTGTTAGGCAACTCATGGGCTGCCTGTGGGAGAGAACACTTCCACTTAAAAATATATTCCTGAAAAATCCATGTGTTGTTAAGCTTGACATGCGAACCTGGATAGGTGGCTTGTTTGGGGCCTGAACGGCCCAGTGGTTAACCCAATAACAAATCATGTATTAGCCCTAAATGACCAGTCCAGGTTTCCATGTCATAGTCAGCAAGCTACAGATGGCTCATAGGTTGTTAATTAGAAGTGGGACTTCTGATTGATACACAGCAACCCATGGCTTGTTTAAACATAGACTGTGGTACATGCAAACCAGGTCACTAAGCAGCAGGTGGGCATACAAAACTTCCTCATTGAGGCACAGAGATTACTGACTTGTTGCAGTAATGCTGCTTATTTGTTTTTATATCCTGCTTTCTGCCAAGGCAGAGAAGCTTATTTGTAGCGACAAATAATACAAAAGATAAAAACTAAAACAGATTCTGAGTCTATGGTAGAGCTGGCAACAGAACTACAATATTTTGGAGTTGAGTTATTTTTCTATCCGGCACAGCCATGTTTTGTGCTTTGCATTGTGTTTGTTGTTAGTGAGTCAACAGCTGTTGCATGACAAATGGAAAGACCTGTGCTTAGTCTGGTTTTATTTACTGAGATTGTTTGTAGTTTGGTATATTGTGTTGCTTGCAATTTGTATCTTGGCCTTGCATCTCTGTGTTGGGTCATCTCTGAGTTAAGCAGCATTTTCAGAAAGCTGGCAACTGTATTGCAGTTACAACAAAACTGACACATGCATACATTTTGAAACTGTTGGCAAGGGAATAAAACAGTTCAGTCTGCTTGAGGGGAGGACTAAAGATGTGAAAACAAAACTAAAATCACATTTCCTTGAGTGCTGTGCTTTAAACTATTAGAATAGAGATAGGCATTCTGCAACCCTTGTGTTTCATGTAGCCTTTGGCCTATTTGAAAAGCCAATTTACAAGCTGTAAATTCAAAACTTTGCCAAGAACATTCTGTCCCTCCCCTGGCACCTCTTTGGGTGCAGTGGTATAGGCAGAGGGTGACAAAGCGAGCTGGGGAAGGAGGGGGAACAGCATGCTTTTGGCTTTCACCCCACTACTGCCAGCATGTAACCTCAGACAGAAAGGTTAAAATATGTTTAAAATGTTGGCAACTTTGCTGCTTTCTTGAATTAAATCCCATCTGATACGACTGATTAATTTCTGGTTTTGTTTTCTGTTGTTTCTTTTTTGTTATTTGTTTGTCCGTTTGTTTTTTACCTGTGTTTGCCATTTGCGCAGTCCTTGATATTTTCAGTTGTTCCTGGCATTATTTATAAACATTGAAATCTAAACTAAAGTTGCCTACTCTAGCAGGTTTTCTCTGGACTTGAATCAGGGAAGGTGGCAAACTTGGAACAGGACCCTGGAATAGCTTGTGTAGGTGGCCAAATTTATACTGGGCTCTCAACTTCCAGTTGAAATGACATTCATCCAGGCCTTTTGTTGCCTAACGTTTAATAATTTTATAACGTAGAAGAAAAGATGGTTGGGGGGGGGGGGAGGTCCCATGTTCCTCTGAGAAATGCAGCACAGAAGAGCTGAAAATTCCAAGACAACGACAAACCTTTTGACTCACAACATTGCCCCCTAGAGGAGCAGGCAAGGATATGAAAATTAAAATAAGCTGGATATAATTGGGGTATTGGAATGGGAGTTGATTCATTCTTCACCTCTGTGTCTTTCTGATCCCAAACTTTCTGGGCTTTTCTTTGCTTTGGCTTTTCTCCTAAAGGTTGTCTTTGTTGCCAGATAGCCTCTGTTCTTCCTGCCATTTTTGATGCAGTCAGAGCATTTATAATGGCCTTGATCCTTCCATTCATTTTGGCTAAGCTGGTCTACTCCTTCCCTTTCTGATGGTTGTTGTTGGCTTCTCAGATGAAGAGAGTGTTGGTTCAGGGAGAGTTCATACCTTCAGGAAACCTGAGGCAAGGGGACAGCTACCAAGGAGCACAGTTCTCATTTTATCATGTTACAACAATTATATAGGTTCATATAGGCATCTTCCTTGATCGAATCAATGTTGCCATCTGAAGCCCAGCTTGCACAAAGGGTTGCATCTAGCATTGTACTAGAAGTATGCTGGAGTAATGGGTCTTTCCCCCTTTCCCTGGGACTGCCTGAAAATCTGCTCCGAGGCTTCTGGGGATTGCCCCTTCCTAGAACTTCTTTCTGACAGTGAAATGACACGTTTGGATAGAATGCAAAATATTTACATCTATGTTCTATGTGAGTTTGTCATTAAATATTTTAAGTGATTGACTTGAATTTTTAGGGCCCCATTTAATTAATCATAAGAAGTTGAGTGTCTTGCTATCAATACATCTCCTGATACAAATAAATAACTCTTTTGGGGGCATATTGCATGCTTTGTAGTGAAAGAAATTGGCAGAATTACAGGTTTTCACTAAAACAGTGAGAATTTTTAATAACCTCTGAATAGTCTCTTTCTCCAAGCATGAGGAGCCCCAGTAAGAAAGCAACTCAATCCCATTGACAAAGCATAAGCACACAAAGAAATTAAGCACCCTGTGTGAGTTTAGCAACAGGAAGTGAAAGCCCAGGCAATCAACTCAGCTTTCTTTTAGTTAAGTAACTATAGATAAATGAATAAATAAAGCTATATATAAACTCCCCACCTTTTCCAGGTAAACAACTTAGCTTTCCAAATAAATAAACTCCAATAGCAGGAAAAAAAACTGGGGTGTGGGATTATTCAGTCTTTGTACTAAGTGTCCCATATACAGTTATCTGCCAACTGTACAGGAGTCATGGGTGTGTGCTTGGCATACTGAGATTCTGGCTTTCATAGCACAGGTTTGTTCCTTTGAAGCCAGTGCTACTGACCTGGAGAAGCTAAATAAGGCAAAGAGGTTGGTGATGAGATCAGAATGTTCAGGGTGATCTTGAGATGGAGAAGGAAAAAAAATAGCAGAACTGTAATAATGACTGGCTTTAGTTATCCCCATGTCCCCATGGGGGGTGTTATTTATTGTATAATTTTAGTATTTATTTATTTTATTACTTCTGCATTTATTTATGTGTTGTGAGCCGCCCCGAGGCTTTGTTGCGATGGGGCGGCATAGAAATGTTTTAAATAAATAAATGTCACCTGAATGTTCCCATATGGTGGATACATGTATGTTCCTGTTCTGCTATGATCGTACTTCCCCTATAAAAAAATCCATGAAGTTATCATAATAAAAATACAGTTCTTGTAACTGTACCTAAAAAGTATAATTTCGAGTTGGAAAAAGTACCGAAAGCACAATTAAAATGATCATGGGGCTGAAGGAACTCCTCTGTGAAGAAAGGTTGCAACAACTAGGATTTTTTAGCTAAGAAAAGGCAAGTAAGGGCAGACAAGATAGAGCTGTTCAAAATTAGGCCTTTTGTGTAGAAAGTGAATAGGGAGACATTTTTTCTTCCTCACTCAAAATACTAGACCCAATGGGATCATCCCATAAGGCTAATTGGTGACAGATTTGGGACAGCAAAAGGAAGTACTGCCTCATGCAGCATGTAGTCAGACTATGGAATTCACTTGCACAAAATGTGGAGATTGCTACCAATCTGAATGGCTTTAAAAGTGTGATAGACAAATCAGAGGAGAAGACTATGAGGGGCTGCTGGTCCTGATAACTATATGCTTCCTCCAGGATCAAAAGTACTATGCTTTGTATTGACCAGAATTTGGGCAGCAGGGTGCTGTTGCGCTTGTGGATCTTTGGTGGCCAGCTCCTTATAGAATTCTGGACTAGTTGGATTCTTGTGCTTTAGCCTGTACATACCTGTACAATATGACCATGGCTTGCAATGCTTTAGCCCTTCTGAAGCCTGTACAATATGACTAGTGCTTCGTGGAGGTAAAATTCAAGAATATTCTGCTTCATGGATCAATTTTGTGAACTATTTGAAATCATTAGTTCAGAGAAACCTAGAGAAATAGTGTTCCTTACTTTGATGAAATTGTGGCGAAATATAAAAAAGGTTTTAACTGTTGTACAACTTTCTTCATAGCACAAACACAAGTACAAAACTTTCTTCATATCCAATCCACAAACACAGATGTGCATGCATGCACATTTCATGTATGATGAACACTGATGTAGTCAATAGAATTGTGTAGACCCAGTGTAAATTGTAAGTAATTGAATTACTGTTTCATTTTAGACATTCATCCATTACCACCAGGCTAATTTTAATTGCTGAAACTATCATTTCATGGGAAGTTATATTATAAATTATTGGTGCTGTCTCAGACCTTAGATATTACATGTGTTTAAAATGTAGGTACAAATCCCTGTAGGTTTTAGGAAAATCACCTTTTATCTCAGTTACTGTCTGTCTTTTCATTTTAAATTAAAAAAAATAGCAATGTCTAATATTTTTTAATCTTTAGGTAATGACTTGGGTCCACCAGCTACAAAGACTGCAAACAAGTTTGAGGGGATGTCTCAACAATCAGGGTAGGCCTTTTAATACCTTTGTAAAGTCACTGTAAATATCCTAGCCATGCAAGCCTATTAATGCAGATGTGGCTAGACCACAAGAAAGCAATTTCTTCATATTGTAGTAGAACTTAGCTGCTTTGATAGCACTGCCATTCTTTTGCTTTTCTAGAGACAAGGACAGGGTGTGTAGTACAAAGCCCAGTGGCTGTATCTGCATTCTCCTTCCTGTCTTTTATATGATGAATCCCTCATGAGGGGAAGGGGTACGGGACTTATTTAATTGTTGCTTATATTGAAAGCACACAAAACAAATGTATATGAACTAAATAGACCTCATAACTGTGATGTTAATATATTTGTACTCAATTTAAAAAATACTGCTTATTTACTGATACTAGTTTTATTCTGCCAGGATACAACCAATTATTTTTGTAGAATACTGGCAGAGTTGAACCACTATATGCAGATAAGCAGCATTTATTTGATTTAGTAACAGTCTGAAAATTTATAGTCTGTTCTGTGAAAAATGTTTATTTTGGTAATATTGATGTCTGGACTCTAAATTCCATTTGGATCTTTCATTCTACAATTCTAACCTCTTGTGTGTTTATACATCAGCACCGGAACTGCTAAAACTGCACTGGGCCCAAGAGTTCTTCCAAAACTACCTCAAAAAGGTAAGGGTTATTTAAAATATACATGTGAGCCAAGCTGCTTTAAACTGAATCAGGTCATTGGACCATTAAGCCTAGAATTATCTAATGTGAACTGACAGAACTGTTGGATTCATTCAACATGACAGTTAACCCTGTATGTATAGCATGTTTCACAGTTTAGCTTTAGTATGATTTACTCAACAGATGATCAAATGGTTTCTAGGTTATCATGGTTTCCACTCTCCCTACTCACAGCTCACATGACATGTGAACCTGAAATTTATCCCAAGCTGCATCACTCCATGACTATGTCACCCTCCTTTCCTCATTGGTCTGCCCATAGAGGCTGGATGGCTGGAGTGGCTCCTATGGTTGCCAGTCTTTCCAGGGGAATCTGTGTTAGTTGCATACCAGGAATGTGGAAACCATATTCCTTAGTTCAAACAGCTTAACAGGCCATGGTGGTACAGAGCAATCATAAAACAAACCATTCTTTCTTATCATGGTTTAAAGATCAGACTTACCATGGTGAAATGTTATGACTGGGTTCAGACTACACAACAGACCAACAAAGGTAAACACACACATCATGGCTTGTTGTGGTGTCTGAACCCAACCAATTGCTTTGAAAACTCAGACACAGATTTTTCCAAACCCAGTATTTCTCTCCTGCCATAATGGACTTGCCTAATCTTGGGGTCCTTTGTTCAAGTTAAGATGCTTCAGTGCTGGGGAGAGGTATGAACCAGGAATGTGGTTGCAAAAGTACTGTCCAGTGTTGTACATGTCTCTTTATCTAGAAGACTGACTGAGAAGGCCATATGTAGGCATTTCTCTTTCCTTGCATTAAGTAGGACTGTGTTTTAGAGGCTGAATGCATATAATGTTTCCAGCTGGTCACCAGTCAGGGCACATACCTGGAATAGCCAAACAGTGGCATCAGATGTAAGCGGAAGCCACAGAATGGGAAAGAAAAGTGGGTGGGGGGTTTTTCTTAGAGAAGGGTGGGGAAACAGAGGTTTATCTGAAATTCATCTCATTGTGTTTACTTTCTATTTCAGTGGCACTAAGAAAAATAGAAACCATTCATCTCCCTTCAGTAGATAAATCCAGTCAACATTCTGAAATCTTTCAGAAATCGTCTTCACTTTCTATTGATCTGCCACAGAAACCACAGCCTGGGGATTTACCCCCAAAGCCTCAGCCTCTGGAACTATCCCAGAAACCTCAGATTGGAGATTTACCCCCAAAGCCAGGAGAATTACCCCCAAAGCCTCAATTAGGAGATCTGCCACCAAAACCACAACTTGCGGACTTACCTCCAAAACCACAAATGAAGGACCTTCCCCCAAAGCCTCAGCTGGGAGATTCTTTGGTTAAAACACCAGGTGGAGAAGTATCATCAAAGTCTCAGTCCTCAGAGGCAAATCAAAAATCTCACTCCGTGGATCTTTCCCCAAAGGTTCATTCTAAAGAGACCATCCAAAAACAATCATCTGAAGATTCCAATGATGTCACGCATGCACTGCCAGAGACCCCAGTGCCACTTCCTAGAAAAATAAACATGGTAAGTAGACATTTTCTGTTGTTACATTGCAGCAGGAATGTATTTCCGCTGTCAAGCTAATGTGGGGTTTTTAAAGTCTAATAGTGTTACGTGAACCAAAAAATGCTAAGGAGAATTGGATGTTTGTGGCGAAGATGCTTGGAGAGAACAGCTTTTTTGGTGATTTTTGTCCCACATGTTGATATAAATGTTCTACTGTGCCTGGTGGTGGTGGTGGTGAAACTACCTATGCTACTATCACTAAATATCTGTTGAAACTATACTTTAATATAAATTTAATATTTCCAATTATTAATGCTAAAATGTGCATTTTTGTTAGCAGTTTTGATTAAGAGGTGAATAACTGTTCCCCCCTCCCCAGACTCTGAGATATTTAACTCAACTAGCTTGAGTGCAGAGAACTGAAGGTTCTCGCCTATTGATAGCAGACAAGGAAGGACACTGAGAGGTTGCTCCCAGGATGAACATCCTGTACAGGTGAAGGGCAACCCTGGCCTCATCCAGCACTGGAGCACAGTGGGCCAGTGAGGAGTATTTGCATTGAGTTTGCTTTAACCCTCCATACTTGCAAGAGCCTACCTTCCTTAATGGCAGCTCACAGCTGCCCCAAAACATGAAGTGCAGCCCACTGCAGCCTTATTTGTCCCACCCATTGAGAGACTGCACTTCCTGTTTTCCAAGAGAATATATTGGCAACAGGGAGACCAATCTGGCCACATCCATCCACCAAAGGAGGAGCTGATGCTGTAGTGCCTGCTTTCCTCCTTGTAAAATGCAAGATTTTAGAAGCTGTGAAATGTGCTGGTGCCACTCTGTAAGACTCTGGTGCACCCACAACTGGAGTACTGTGTCCATTTCTGGGCTTCACATTACAAGAGGGACATAGCAAGGTTAGAAGCAGTTCAGTGCAGGATCACAGGGATGATAGCTGGATTGGTGGCAGGGATGCCATATGAAATGAGATTGCGAGAACTGGACTTTTCAGTTTGGAGGAGACTCCAAGGGGATCTTACAGCAACTTGCAGGTATGTGAAGGGGTATCACAAGGTAGAGGGTTGTGACCTGTTCTCCCCTATGGTGGAAGGAAGGACAAGATCCAGGGGGCAAAGCTAAAGGAACCAGGCTTTAGATTGGATGTCAGGAAGTGCTTCTAGGCAGTTAGGACCCCTAGAATGTGGAATGGAGATGGTGGAGACCCCATCCGTGAGGCCACTCAAGGAAAATTTGGACAACCACATGTTGGGGATCACATGAGCAGAGCTGGCTTATGCTGGGAGTCGGACTAGATGGCTCAGGAGGCCCTTATGATACTTGAAACAGGGTTTATTTTAGGTACACATATAATTCAGTACTCACTGGATTTATCTTACCCACTAAAAAGTACAGTTATAGAATTATTTTCTGTCTTCTAATGTTTTTTATTTTTGAAGGGCAAGAACAAAATCAGAAGAGTGAAGACAATCTATGATTGCCAGGCAGATAATGACGATGAGCTTACATTTGTTGAAGGTGAAGTTATTATTGTAACAGGTGAAGAGGACCAAGAGTGGTGGGTATGTATCTTTTGGGAGGTGGAGGAATCAATCACACAACAGTTCAAACATCGCATAACACTTTATTTCACAGCAAAGCAATAGTTTTCACATACATAATATTATAAATTGTATTCTAGAGAACTTGAGTTAGCATGTGGTTTAAACGCACTGTAACAAATGACATTAATCAAAATCTTCGTATACTTGCCAGTCTATCATTTAAGCATCAAGTGCAGCTCCGTGATAATCCATGTACATTTTGCCATTGGAGCAGGACATGCATTCAGATGCCTTGATTCTAGATCACTTGTGTAAGGCAAAAGGAGCATTTACACAGGATCACAAGCCCTGTGCTGCCCTGGTGCAGCAGAACACTGCACCGCGCAGCTGCTGAAGACTGCGTTGCAGTGTGCAAGGTCTTGCCCAAAACGAGAGCAATGATGGATCAACCAAAAACATTACCCGATCATCACAGCTGAAGTCTCTTGGTGTGATAACAAGATAGGAACATTTAGGCCAAACTCCAAAGAACATTGGTAGTTTTGCATAGTCCATGTGCATGTATTCCTAGAACAGAAATGTCATATGCAAAGTGCTTTCTGAAAGTTTCAAGAAGCTACTACCATGATACATATCTGTTGCTCAGAGGAAAATGCTCCTCTCTATTTTCAGTTGGTTGCCAGGAAGTACTTCCCAGGGACAGTTAGGACCCTGAGGGTGTGGAATGGGCTTCCAGGGGAGGTGGTTGAGGCCCCATCAGTGAGGGTGTTCAAGGATAGGCTGGGCATGCACGTGGTAGGCATGTCGTGAACAGAGCTGGCTGGAGCCGGGGGTCAGACTAGATGGCCTGGGAGGCCCCTTCTGACTTGCTTTGCGTCTCTGTTTCTATGTATTTGTGCAAGTCTTTGGCATGCCTAAAATAATACATTGTATCCCAAGTGAAGGCAAGCCCTATTCTGGAGCAGGTGCAGCCTTGCACTCTTCCCACTCCCTCTTTTTAAAAGAACTTAAATAAATAAGCACCTTTTCATAACCTGCTTTTTAATACACACACACACACACACACACACACACACACACACACACACACA